GGGATGGAACCCGCACCGAAGCAGCTGTGGCCAGCTTGCAGTGCTGCGTCCTAAGCTGTTGCACCACCAGGCAGGGCCTCTTGCCACTGTTCGAAGGCCCACCCTCTGCTTGTGCAGCTAGCCCTGCCTGGATCAGCTGTGGAGATCCGCCCTGCAACCGGCATTGCCCCCGGCGCCCCCACCGCCTGCCCCCGACGTGACTCCCCTGGATGCCCAGTCCCTAGAGCACAGGTCACCCTCACAGCCTCTGTGTGAAATCAGTCTCTCTACCCCGCTGGGGCTTCCCGCCAAGGCAGCACACCTGAGCCAGGCACAGAGGCAGGTCCCTCTTTCAGTCATCTGCATCCTGCCCCGAGGGCTTCTGCGTCTCTGTCAGCTGCCCAGTCAGCCTGTCTCCTAGGTCACCCTGACCTGGGCCCCTGGAAGGTCCGGGGGCTGCACCCAGACAGGGGCTGGAGACCTCTGGGGGAAGCAGCTGTGGTTTTTAAAACTGCAGGCGCCACCAAGTTTGAGACTCGGTCTCGTTCGCTGGTAACCGTGTTATTTAACTGACGTCCTCTGTAAAGCCTTTGTCGGTATTTGTGAGGAGCCTGACCCTTGAGGGCTGTGGGGTTGCTTCCCCTGTGGCGGTGCAGGCGGAGAGTTTTTGGCGCTGGATCTTGGCTCATCCCGCTAACAGGAGGCACCTGGCTCAGGTCTGTTTCCCCCCTCCACTCCCACCACACAGTTCTCCCTTTTCTCCCTTCTCCCAGGGTGTCTGTTTTCTTGTCAAATCCGGAGCTCCTGATTATTGCTTTAGGGTTTTGTTTTCTTTTAAAAAACAAAACAAAACAAAAAAAAAAACATTTCGTTGAAGTCACGATGGTTTTGAACATGCAGACCCGTCACAGCGCCACAGCGTTATAATGCAATGTGTACACGGCACGAAGTCCAGCCCTGGGGTGGGTCCCACTGGGTCCCACCCCCACCCCCACCCCCACAGCTGGCCCCTTTTACCCCTCTCCCTCCTGCCCCCGCCCCCTTCTGGTGACCAGTAACTTGGTCTTAGACTCTAAAAGCCTGTTGGTGTGGCCTTGAGTCCATTTGCTCTCCCGAGGGCCACCCTGGAGGGCGCTGGGATAGCGTCTGTCTCTCTCCTCAGCTGAGGCCTCTTGATTGAAACGAGCTTCCAAGGGTTGTGTGCGGGACCGCTCTTCCCACTGTTTGAAGGCTTGTGCAGCTAGTCCTGCATCGGTCAGCTGTGGAGATCACCCTGCAGCCACGTCCCCTCTCCAGTTTGTGGGCATTGGTCTCCCCCCCACCCCGCCCTGTCCCCCATGTGATACCAGGGGAACAGCCTTGGCACGTTGAGTCCCCAGGGCCCGTAGGTCTGGGGTGTACCAGGGAAGGACTTGCTGGGACATGTGAGTCGGCCTCTTGGGGCTCCCCTCCCAGAGGACATCATGGAATCTGGGGGCCAGGGACCAACCGGTACTCAGGTGCCCTGGGGAAACTCTCCCTGGAGCTTGGAGCCTGGCGAGGGCCGGGCAGTTCCTAGCGTCCTTAGTGTGAAGGTCAAGGTAGTCTGTCTTCGGGCCTGACCTCTGGCTCCTGGCCTTTAGGGTTGCATTCCTCAGACTTCTAGAGACTTAGTCACCTTCAGTTCCGGGGCTCCCGGGGGTGCACAGGCTGGCAGGACTCGGGGTGGCAGACACTGCCCCACGACGGGGCCGTGCATGTGTGGGCACGTGGCTTTCCCTCCTGGTGAGCACGACCCAGCTGTGTGGGACAGCAGATAAGAGGGGGTGGGAACATTCTTCGGAGGAACGTGCACCTGCCCGGGCAGATTTGCCGTGGTGTGAGTCATCGGTTGGTTCTAGAGTGGCCAATTCTGGAAAACCCCTACCCTCTGGAAACCCACAGGCAGGCCCACTCACGAAATGCCAGCGGGGACGGGGTGCAAGTGATGGATGCGGAGAGGTGAGCAGGCGGGTTCCTGCCGCTTCCCCGCCAGCCCCAAGGGGCCTGCACAGTGTCCGTTTGTTATAGGGCACCCCAATTCTGTTAGAGGACAAGGGGAGAGGGACACCCCTGAAGCCCCAAAACCTGCCTGCTCTACGTGGGTTCTGCCATCCGCCGCAACAAGACAAAACATATAAAACTTTAATGAAAAGGGACTTTAATACAATACGGAACACAAAGAATAGAACTTCTAAATCAAACACCTGCAGTGACCCGTCCCCTCGTGGGCAAAAGTCAACCCAAAAGGGATGGGCCCAAAGCAAGGCCTGAAAGCCCGCCACGAGCCCAAAGCACCTTCTGGCCGGGACCCATGAAAAAGGGTCAGACATGGCCAGACAAATCTGGGAGGAAAAGAGCAACATCAAAATCAAGATAAACGCTGCCACAGTCACCTCCCCACGGGTCTCTCCCCCACATCTGCCTTAGCCAGCCCAGGGTCAGGAAACAAGCCCGGCTTCTTCATCACATGCTCGCTGCTCCATGTAGCTTCCTCGGGTCTCCTCCTTCTCTCTCCTGCTTCCTTCTCTTCTCTCCTTTATCTCTGCTCAGCTCCACCCTCCTTCTGGGTGGGGCAGGGAACCTGGAACTTCCCTTTTTCCGAGGGACCCCCCTGTTACACGTTCACCCGTGGGCCCCTGTCCACCAGCTCCCCACGGCCCCCTAGAGGCTGTCACCTGCGCAGATGCTCACACACGGTCCCTGCTAGCTTGGGCACCTCCAGGAGCCCCAAGTGAAGGCTGACTCACGTGTCACCCCCAGGGTCAGGGCTCCCCAGGTTCTCACTGCTGGGTCACCTTCGGGATTTTGTCAGGACTCCGCCTGACTGTCCTGTCTCTGTTTAAACGGCAGCCCTTAGTTCAGACACATTTTATATCACCTGGAACCATCAGCCTTGGGCAGAGGGGGCCAGAAAGGTGAATGGATGGGGGCAGGGTCCTGGAGGCCAGAGGGAGGGAGCTGCTGTGGGGCGGGGTGGGGGTGGGGGTAGGGGTGGGGCTTGCAGGCTGCCTTCCCCAGCACCCCCAACGTGGGCCTCTCTTCCATGCTCTCATGGGGACCCCAGAAGAACTGAAACAGGGACTGGGTGCCGCCGTTGTGGCACACTGAATGTCCTGCACATCAAAGGCACCCCAACATGTCTTTTACAGAGGTGGGGGGAAGGCGCTTGAAACCTTGTGTTGCTGAGAGAGTGCTGTTGGGCTGCAGAAGCACTGGATGTTTCCTGGTGCCTGAAGGAATGATCCTTGGAGGGGAAACCCCGGGAGGCCGGAGGCCCAGGAGGCCGGGAGGAGTTTTCCCTGATCCCCTCACTGCTGTGTCCCTGCCTGGGAAGGTTCTTGGTGCCAGTGTGCACACGAACACTGTCCTGGTGACCCCGTGACTCCTGAGGCTGATGAGTGAAGGAAGAAATGATTGAGCGTGGGAACGAGTGCACCCTCTTTCCAAGACCCGAGAGGCAGGGCTCAGATGCCCCTGGAGGCTGGCCAAGCCTTGAACTGGGGACAGGCGCTGGGCGGGTGGTAAATCACAGGAGCCACTGGAGGCAGGGATGTGGGGGATGGAGGGGGTGGGGACCCAGGTTCCCCAGCAGCACCCAGCACCCAGCCCTGCCCTTCATGTGCCTGACAGCCTCCAGCAGCTAAATTCGATGTCGGGGCCCAGCCACGGGCCCGGCCCCGCGGGGAGACCCACCTGGGCTGTGGCTGGTCCCACAGCAGTGCAGTGTTCACCTGCAGAGGGCCAAGTTTTCTAGTCTAGGCTGGGGTGTGCTTTCTGAGCTTTGCCTGTCTGTACCCCCACTCCCCCCCTCCACACACAGCGGCAGGTTTATGAGGAAAATCCCCAGGACGTCGGAAAGGTGCCCCGCTGAAGTGTTTACCCGCCAGCTCACACGCGGGCGCGGAACACGCTGACGGGAACATTCTCCCCGGCAAGGCAATGTTTAACCAGCCAGGCAGCTCCACTCCCCACTCCGGGGCTCGGGGCTCGCAGGGGGCCGCAGGGGGCCGCAGGGGCCCAGCTCTCGCCTCTGTGGTGTCTGAGGAGGCAGCAGCCCCCCTGGCTGCCCAGAACTGCCTGTCCCTTCGCACCGTGGGTGGTGGGCCTGGCTTTGTCCTCTGGAACTGGTGGAAGCTCTTTCTAGGCTTTTTCCGGCGTTGAAAATTGTCTGTGGACCCAAACCAGCTAAAACAATCACCCTGTTATAATTTGAGGGTATTTTATACCTCCCCCAAAAAACGGTTGGACAACATGACCTGCTCCCCGATCTCGGCCCACCGGGTTGGGGTGGGGCTGTTTCAGCCACAGTGACCGTGGTGGATCTGTGGGACTCTGGCCAAGGGCAAGCGCGGACCTTCAGGCCATGGACTGGGCTGGTGCTTTTCAGCCGTCTCATTCTTTGATTTTTTATTATGGAAAACTTAAAGCACATAAGCAGATTCGTGTAAGCGCCCTTTACAGACAATACCCGTGGCAAGACTTTGCCAAACTTTCCTGTGATTGACCTTTTCCTGTTTTTCACTTTATTTTCTACTGAAGTACAAAGGTGTATTGTACGTGCACAGGTGAATTAATGACGCATTTTGGCCCACGCTGGCACCTGGAGGTCTGCACCACCTCGAGTCGCAGCCCTGTCTGGGACCTGTACTTCCACTGGCACCGGTTGCGGGCACCACGGTGGCCTCACACTGGGGACGTTTCTCCCTCCATAAATAGGAAATTCTCTCTCCTTTCCTCTGCCCCTCCCGCGGGTCCCTTAGCCTCCCGCCCACTGCATACTCATCGGCCCAGCCCACGACACACTTGGGCTTCAGAACAAACTGCCCTGCATGGCGCTCAGTGTCCAGGGACTGAGGTGCTGAAGCTGGTTCCCGGGTTGTCCTGAGAAGAGTGAGGTCCCTGCGCAGGGGTGTCGCAGCTGGGGGAAGGAGTCGTGCGTGGGCCCACGCCGTTCCCCCCCACCCCGGCCTGATGGGGTGCCCCCATCCGTGTCCCCGCAGACGCTGCAGGAGATCTTCCAGGCAGAGAACACCATCATGCTGCTGGAGAGGTCCATCATGGCCAAGGAGTGCCCGCTGAAGGTGGCGCAGACGAGGCTGGAGTGCCGGACCTGGCGCCCCAACATGGAGCTGTGCAGGGACACCCCACAATTCAAGTGAGTGGGGGCAGGGGTGGCGGGCGCCCACAAAGGACCCTGCGCCACCCAGGCCAGAGAACCGGACTCGCAGGAAGCACGAGTGAGTTTGACGCGGCCCCTCCGCCGCCTGCAGGGGGCGCCTGCGTGCGTGTGCAGGGTGTGGGTGCACCCAGGTCCCCGCCCCACCCACTCCATTAGCTTCTCCCCTTGCTTCTCCCCTCTTCCTACATGTGGCCCCCTCCCACCCTCCTGTACTTGCTGAGGACCCCCCACCCCCACCCAGGCTTTACCCTGTCCGCACTCTGGTCCTGTCCAGCCCCAGTCTTCCCCAGCGGTATGCCATTTACTTTGAAGCGATTTTTAATGAAGTGCAATTAGAAAACCAGCTCCTTAGTGATCGCGCCAGCCTGCAAGAACCCGTGAATGCCCTGATGGCCGGCCACCACATTCCAGCGTGGCGCAAACCTCTGTTGGGCAGCGCTGCAGGGACCACCTCTGGGGAAGGTGGGCCCCAGAGCCATGAGCTGACCATTCACAGCAGCTGTGATACCAGTGCCAGGGTAGGGGCTGAGCATGGCACCCCAAAACAGACCCACCCCCTGAGCTACGTGAGGCTGGGCCTGTTACCTGGACTTTTTTTTAAATGTAATAAAATTTACCATTAGTGCCATTTTAAAAATACATACATAATGTTATGCCGCTATCACCACATCTAGTTCCAGAACTTTCTTATCGCCCAAAAGGAAATATGCCTGTTAACCATCATTGCTCCTTCTTGCCTCCCTCCAGCCCTGGCCACCACTAAGCTACTTCCCATCTCTAGGACTTGCGTGTTCTGGATATTTCATCTAAAATGGGGCCTGCTCAGTGTGACTTTCATGTCTGACTTCCTCCAGCCAGCATCTTGTCTTCAGGATTCACCCAGGTTGTGGTCTGTACCACAGCTTCATCCCCTTCTCAGCTGTGTAATATTCCACTCTGTGACTTCCCCACACGTGCTTATCCATTCATCCACTGATGGGCAGCTGGGTTTGACTGTGGCAATTAACACCGCTAATCACAACCCTAGTGTGATTTAACTATCATTTAAGTATTTAAGTATCTGTTTCCAGTTTTGGCGGGTGTGCAACTGGGAGTGAAATCTCTGGTCTCATGGCACGTCTAAGTGTAACTTACTTAGGTGCTGCTAGCTTATCTTCCGGAACTCTCCTTCTCTTCCTGTGTTCTGGTTTCCTGTGGCTCTGTTGCGTGTTCACTTCATTTACCTGTTCTGTTTCTGTCTTTCCTGTCTGTTCTGCTCCTGCTGCCTCCTGGCCAGTTCCTGGCACATAGCAGCTGCACCTCTGGCCAGCGGCTGAATGGACTGTGCCTTCTCTGCCCCCAGGCTCATGAATGAGGTGTTCACCATTGACGACACCCTACAGACCCTCAAGCTGAGGCTGCGGGAGACTCAGGACACACTGCAGCTGCTGGTGATGACCAAGTCCCGGCTGGAGCACGAGCTGGCCATCAAGGCCAACACCCTCTGCATCGATAAGGAGAAGTGTATGAGCATGCGACGGACCTTCCCCAGCACCCCCCGCCTGGTGGGCTACGTCTGAGCGGCGGCACCGGCCCTGGCACCCCAGCACCCCGCTCCGGGCCGGCCCCTTAGGCAGCACACACTTTGACGTCAGAAACACAGAATAAAGTGTCATTTTCTCCCTTTCTTCCTATTGTGAGAAGGATAACCTACGTTAAGAGATGAAATAAATGTGCCCAAACCTGACCTGGAGCTCATTCCTTGCTGCAGACCTGGCTTCGAGGAGGTTCTGGGTGGGGACAGACACCTCAGCAACAGGACTGTGAGAGGTGGCCTGCGTTCCCAGGAGCGGAAGGGGCCAATCTTTGCAAACCTGTTACCCACTGAGGAGCATAGTGCATGTAGGTAGTGGTGACCGAAGAGCGGACACTGGGACTCAGCACCCAGAGCCTAGATGTCACTGAGGACTTACGTGACCTTGATCTAGCTCTCAACCTGAGTGTCCTCGTCAGAGTGAAGGTGACTGTCAGCTGTGTGGGGCAATGCAAAACAGAGAAAAAGTAAAATCTCCACAGGCACCTATATCGGTATTTCCATATATAGAATCTCAGCTCCGCTAGATGGGTGTTTTAGATGTTGCCATGGAGAAGAAGGAGTCGAATCATTCTGTGGGTGGGACGGGGGAGGCGGGTCAGGGCTGAGGGAAGCCCTGTGAGCACGGGACATTGTCTCAGTAAGGGCGGAGCAGCCACCCAGCGATTCTCGTCCTGGCTACAGAGCAAAGACAACAGAAACCAGATATTTAAACAAACACTTGGGCACGGACATTCCTAGTCCTAATCACAATAGGCCAAAGCAGGAAGCAACCCAAATGGCCATCAGTGAATGAGCAGGAAAGCAAAATGTGGACTACCCTATGGTGGAATATTAGTCAGCCATTAAAAAGAAACAGTCCCAGTACCTGCTACAATGTGGGTGAAACCTGAAAACTCCCTGCTGCGTGAAAGAAGCCAGACACCAGAGGCAGTCTGTTCCCCAGTGCCACCCCCTGTAAAAGATGCAGTGTTGGGAACCTAGAGAAATAGCTTGTTGCCTGCCAGGGCTGGGTAATGGGAGTGACAGCTTCGGGGGCCCATGGTTTCGTTTCAGAGTGATGAGAGTGTTTGGGGGAGGGGGAGAGGTGGTCATACAGCTGAACTCCACAGAGTTGTTGGCTTTAAAACTTTAATTTGATGTTAGGCAAAGTATACCTCCAACAAGAGGAAAGGAACTACTAGAGCCAGATCTCGAACATTCGTCACATGGAGGAAGAACACAGGGAAGGCATGTCCCCGGGACAGAGCTACCCTTGGTGAGCCTGGGAACCATCTGGAAGGGTTGGCCAAGGCCAGATCATGAAGGACAAATACTTCAGACATTTTTTCCGAGGTCAGTGCTTCTCAAACTTCATGCCACGCATCAGTGCTTCTGAAATGTTAGGCGAACGTGATGACCACGACATTACGGAAACCCACTTAGGGCTTCTGAGAGATAATGCGCATGCGCAGATTGTGGGGAGACCATGTCGAGGTACACACTCTAAACCCTAGATCTGCGCTGCAGGCCGAGAGCCTGAATTTCTAACAAGTTCTCAGATGAAGCTCTCAGGCAGGGCCCACACTTTGAGTAGTGGGAATTTAGAAACACCTGCACCCCTGGGACCCTAGCCGGGGACACCTGACTACCATTTACTCAGGCTTTTAGATTGTTGTACTTAAAAAAAGAATCCAAATTTGTCTTAAAGGTAAAGGCACAGCGATACTGCACAGGAAGTTCTGCTTTGCTCCTACTGAATGAAATACTGTGAATGTGTCTGGGCAGGTAATATCGTCTGCTTTGGGGAAAGGACAAGTCTTAGGTGTCACAGACCACATAACATCTAACAGACTCTGTCCTTGAGATAAGATACTGCCTGAAAGACAGTAGAAATGTTGATTTCCCCGCAGTGACTTTCAGTGCTATTTAAGGCTTTGAATGCTCACACCTGAGGCGTGAGCCTTTCCTGCAAACCGTTGCAGTGCTGGATCCTTAAAGCAGAGGACTGAAATGCCAGCTTAGTGTTTTAGAAATAATTCCCTCCTGCAGAGAAGATGAGAGTTGGAGAGACCCAGCTGGTAGAATTTCAAGCAGGAGCTGCAGTGTGCCTAGATTAAGGCAGGTACTTGAGGGGCGTTTGTGGGGGCTGAAGCCCAAATGGGGTGGAAGGGGTGCCAGGGAGACCTGGAGGGGACAAAGATGCCAGATGTGGGCCCGCTGTGCCCTTGGGGGGGGAGTGAAGAGCCTTGTGGGGCGCTCAACATCCCTTTGAGGTTGGGGTTTGATGGCCTAGCGATGCCCGATGCGCATATCTGCAAGATGAGTGGAAAGGGGTCTCGGACACAAGAGAGGCCAGAGAGGCTGTGCAGGTTTCTGGAGCTATATGGAGAGGCGGGCTGGTGCAGGGAGGTCCTGAAGAGCAAAGGAGAAAGTTGGGTGGTGGGTGAGACGCTGGAGAGACAGGCTAAGGGCGCCGGGGCGGGGATATAGAAGAAAGAGGGGGTTTGGGGTGAGAGCTGGGGAGAGACAATGTCCAGGGGAATCGCAGAAAGCATTGCAAGGTGGCAATGTTCAGACGAAGAACAAAGAAAGCCCATTTGCAGGAGCTGGCTTCTTATAAATTCCACTGGCCCAGGTACCCCGGGATACTCTTGGGGATCACAACTGGGCATTTGTGTCAAAGCCTTAAAAATACTCCTGCCCCGGACTTAAAGAGTGTCTCTCTTAAGACCCTGGCATTAGAAAACTACCCAACGTGCAGGTGCAGATGTGTGCATAGAGGAGGAATTTATCCTAGAAAACCTCTGAAAGTCATGCTCAAGGCAAAGAGAGCAGCTATGAAAAATAGAACACAGTCAAGTCAGGGAACATTAAGTAGCTCCAAGAGAAGTGCTCAGCAAATGCTTGAAAGCTGGAGGAATATGCTTATAAGGCGAAAAGCAGAGTACAAAATAGTGACCGTAACCTGTTCTTTATTGTGTCACAGGGTACAGGAAAAAATAACGTACTAGAATATACTGGAACGTTGACAGAATGCCTGGTAAGCAACGGCTGGTTCTTATTTGTGTACATTACGAATTATCTACAGTGAACATGTGTGCCTTTATTCATCGGGAGGAAATGCTTTCGTAAATAGACTTTATTTTGCAGTAGAGGTTTATAGAGGAGCGGAGGAGCGCAGAAGATGAGCGTCCCCATGCGCCCCTGATCCAGCCCTCTGTGATGCCATCATCCTCCGGAACCGTTTGTTGTGATGCCTTGTCCAAACTAAGCAATGAGTGTAATCAGTGCATAACTACTTTCTGGGCTCCAGTATCTGTTTTCCCCCATTGACCCTTTTTCTGTCCCAAGAGCCAACAGAAAGGGGACCCCACATTGCGTGGATCAGCCTCCTCTGATCGGTGATGGCTTCTCTGTCATCCCTTGTTTCTTGTGACCTTGGCGGTTCTGAAGAATCCTTGTATTTGTCAAGGGTTATCTGTGTGCTTCTCATGATTAGACTGGGGTGACGGGTTTGGGGGGACAGTGACCGAGGTGAGGCACCATACTTGTATTATGGCACCATCCTGAGGGTATCACCTGGCCCTTGGCTAAAGTGGCATCGGCAGGCTCCTCCCCTTACATGTACCGCACCCATTGAACATGGGTCGTGAAGTCCAGCCTGCACTCCAGGGTCTGGGTATCACCCCCACCTCTGAGCAGGGGACAGTTATGCAGATGACCCCAATTTCCCTCTAAGACAGTATGTCCCTCTACCCGGACCCATTTATGCTGTCACATGTCAGCACAGCTTGCGGAGGCGGGCCCCGACTTGGGTTCTAACCCCACCCCACACTGCCTGCCTTGCACACGTGGTTCTGGAGCTGACCGCAGGCAGAGCCACGTCAGCCTGCCTCAGTGCCCCCTGTTCATGCCCTCGTCCTTTGTTTTCCAGCCCTTGCCCACTTCCTGGCACTCCAAGGTCCTCCAGGCTCATCTTGACTTTTCTTCTATCCAGTCTTAGAAACAGCCTCTCCTGGAGCCCTGGTTCCTTTTCTTAGGGAATGGTACTTAGGAAACAAGTTCTGGGTACTGAGGTGCTCACAGTTAAGCTTTTTTAAATTTTTCTTCTTGTGGTAAAATGTTTATAAAATCAGCTACCTTAGCCATTTTTTAAAAGATGTATTTATTTATGCATACAGAACTAGGGTACAGGC